CAATTACACAAAATATCCATCTATGGAATTCCAGGCAGTGAGTTGATTATTCAGCTAACGACTAAATTAGTAATAAGATAAGACTGCTCTTGCTTGATAAAAATTGATCGTGGAAAGGGTCGGAGGTTTTTATACCTAGTATAAACATAGTGCCACTTTATAGGAAACTATGATCACTATTCTCTCGCCTTTCCGTATGCTTCAATGGTTTCTCTGTGAATTTCGGGGAAATCTATCTACTTATCCCAAGAACCTGCCATTTTTATGAACTGGAATGTTTTGAAGATGTTAAAGGCACAGGAAATATAATAATTCTCTCCTATTTTGGAAACTGAGAAGAAGCGCTGAAGGCAGGGTCAACCCTACCGTAGGGACTTTTTGGAATTTTTTTACGACCCCCCTCCTTCATAAGAGATTTCATACGACCCGTTCTTCTCGACTTCTTCTCCTCTCAAAAAACACCGTCGAAGGGGAGGGGAACGGCAAATTTTCTCCCGCGCGCTCTCACCTCGTTACATGTAATTTCGTGCTACCAAAACAACTACGACCCCCCCCCCCCGTTGGTACTTGTCCCAACGTAGGGTTGGCCCTGGCTGGAAGCCCAGACGATATAGCAAAAGACTGGCGCATTCGCAACCAGGCTACCGGGACGGGCGGTGAGGGAATCTCTAAGTCATAATCCCTAGTGCCTTCCGATGTGCCTAGGGGCGTCAACAGTCGCAGCACTGCCTCCGCGTCTAGGACCACCCCACCTCCTGCACGAATGTTTCTACCGCCTATTTCAGACATTTGAAGGTGCTAAACAGTGAAACCGGCAGAATTGAAGCAGTTGATATTGTTGAGAGCAATTTTGGGGTTGAAAGCTTCAGGTGTAACTGCTGACCTTTCTCATTTCAAATTCTTTTTTATCCTCTGAATTTTTTCTTCGTTTTGCAAGACGACCACCCACAATGACTGCTTCGGAATTAAGTTAAAATAGTTTCGAAATGTTTAGAAGCCGTCTACCACGCCTTCAAACGCTATCCACTAGACGGCAAAGTCGGCTTCGTTATTGGATCGCAAAAACCGTGGGTTGAAGTATATGCGCTACTGAATGGAGCAAAAGAGGTGAATGTTGGCCGCCTATGAGAACTCTGTACATTTTAACATAATTATACCTGCCGATATGCTAAAACAATGAACATTGGCAGATTTGGCGCTTGCACTATTTGCGTTTGATTACCATTTTCTGCAGATTGTATGATTAAGCAAAGAACTTGAAAGTAAGGTGCAGAAATGACAGGAAGTGCTGGCAAATGGTGGGCCGAAGCTAAAGATTGAGAGACTGAATTCGTGAACTTGTCAGAGGACGCAGAACCGGTCGTCGCGGTTGGGACAGCGGATTGAAGGTCTTCGATAGCTCAACCTCGATTGCTGCTCAAGGTAGCGTGCATTTGTCAGGAAAGACCAGATAACCGCGGCGTTGATGAACTTGAAGGAGTCTACTTGAGTTCCTGTGCGACCGTGGTGCTCACCCTTAAGCGGAAGGTGCGCCGGAAAGTGATAAGGCCTGCGATACTACACGGCAGCGAGTGCGTAGTACGTGGGCAAGGCACAAGAAAGGAGCATCACCTTCATTTCGATCAAATAATGATGCGGAGATGAGGGCATGTGGCTGGACGCGACTGGACAGGTCGGACAACGAATCAGAGCGGTCATGCAGACTGCCCCTGTCCAAGCTGAAAGGTGCGGGAGCAGCGTCTGCGATGGTATGGGCATGTGCTAAGGAGGCCACAGGACCATCCGATAAGAACAGCGATGGACTTCGAAGCGCAAGGCAAGCGACCGCGAGAAGCCCTTCAGGAGGCTCGAAGGAGAGACGTCATCACGAAACCCAACTGAAGTCAGGGCCACAGCAGAAGACGCCATGGACACTACAAAGTGACGATAGCACACAAATACTGCGGACCTTGCGATTGAGCGGGATTACCGCTAGGGAAGAAAAGAGGGAGACCGGACAGTATTTGTTAATGCTCCAGAAATCCGCGCCAAAGACTATTTAACGTTACCTGTATAACTCGTGTTTATAGGTAAAAGTGGGTCATATATTTAGAACTATTTGAACCATGACAAAGGTGGAGTTACGCCAATAGTTCACAAAGAGGCTACGAGAATTCCGACTCTATGGTAATTTAACAATCAACGGTAATGACAAAGCCGGACTTTGCTAGAGATTGAAAAAGGAGAGGCGAATGATGGAACGAATTGTGAATAGCTATGCTCAATTTTGTTTCAGGTGACCACGGTAGAATATCAACACTTAAAAATCAACGGTACTGATAGAGTTCGTTATGTGCATCCGATCGATTTTGCTGAAAACTGGGAGAAGTAAGTCTGAACATTATCGCATGGTTCTGAGTTTTCATCAGTATAATCTTTCAAAATCGATTGGGATACACTTTGTGATGCGCCACACATTCGGTTCTAGCCAAGCCTCGCAGAGGCGTACTGAAGCACAATTCCCGCAATCAGTATTTTCTTCACCTAGCTAGTTAAGTATTATCAGTGAAGCAGTGACGGGAGTAAAGGTCACCTTATAAAAGGCTTAAAGGCAGCGATTACGATAAAGAGGGAGCGCATCGGGGAAGCATATGCACCACACGAAGCAGTTACTTGGCTGCCAAGGAAGCGAGGTGTGGCGCTTTCACGACGAAAGGTGCGCTGGTTGCTGAGCAGGACTTCGAAAGCGCTCCGCCCCCAAAAGCGATCCGCCCACTAGTTTAGTTGGTGATTTGGACGAGCTGCGTTGCCAGCAGCGGCGCAAATGGAGCATCTCGATTAAAGCGTGTTTGGCATGGTGCCATCAAACGCGTTGCGGTGAACTCGTTCATACGTCCACTTTCTGAGCTGTTACCTGTTCATGAGTGAAAACCAACGGCCAAAAAGGGGTCCCGTTTTGCGTTTTCTTGACGGATTTCTCTGCTTTTTTCGCCACTGGCGTACCACTGAGCACCACCTCGTCTCTCTGAACCCTCCTACAAATTATCGTAATCGCTGCCTTTAACTGACAAGATCGGATTTATCTCGAACTGAGCTATCTCTTGAAAATCAAGAAGTTGCTCATAGGAATTGCTTTGGCATTTTTTCCATGTAAAAAAGCACCAAATGTGTGAAGTATTTCAAAAAAGAAGATCACTGTTAATTACATTGTAGAAATTTAGGGTCTTTGTTATTTTTATTATAGTGTCATATTTTAGACATCAAGGAAGCTTTGACTTTGCCGCTTCATTCTCCTCTATTGAACACAGCGGGCTTGGACGGTAAGAATTTCACACTTAGCGTTTTGAAGAATAGGAAAAGGAGATGTACTGACTTGGGGGAACCGGAATGAGGAATGACCGGAAAACCGTAGAACTAGAGCGAAAAACGTCGTAGCGTAGTGATAAATTTAGCAATGTTATTGCAGTGCTTATCTTACCTACCAGGATGCAATTCATCTACGTGACTACTTAGTCTATTGGCGAGTTTTGGAAACTCCCAGTTTCCTGGTATGGTGTCTTAGACTTGAAGTATTGCTCATCGTTCCAGGTTTGCAAACCAACTGATGTCATGTACTTTTCCCATGGATGAATCCTTTGACGACAATGCGGATTTGCACGTAGCTTGCTCATGGGACCACGCCTCTTTTTGGCGCGCCCAACTCTCGCTCACAATTGGGCAAAATTGTCCTCAAAGCAATTTTTCTATAGAATTTTGACTCTAACAGTATACCAGTTATAACTGCAGTTCTAGGCTTTCATACTGTATATTATTTTCAAGAGAACACAGATAAGGGATCAAGGTAACAGCCACCATTGGGTGCCATTGTCGTCAAAGGGTTAACACTGTTGCGATAACTGATCTAAAGAAGCACCGTGGACGACGATATAAATGCTCACACACGACTTGGATACATCAGTCACAATGCTGAAAGACTTAGTGTTCTTTTTCAGTAGTACACCTCTTTACATTCGCCTCGAAGACGCAAGAATCAAGCATGAGTTTTCTACATCATCTATCCTCATATATTTAGATATGGCGATCCCATGGATCCTATTGGTGACTTACGTGAAGTTTGGAAGACATACTGCATGCTGAAAAGAGGAGGTGAGCCATGAATAAAATATGGTGCTAGCAGATGACATGATGCCCATAAGAGCATGGTATGATTTTTGCACTCGCGAAGTCTGGAGTGCCGCTATACTGGAATATCAGACTGAACTATGGCTTTCTAACATACATACCAGCTTTATCATACGAAAGTCGTCAAGGTCAGGGTCAACGGTCACGTTCGCACATTTCCAATAATTTTGCGACCTCCCCCCTCTTTATGAAGGCTCGATGCGACCCCCATCCCACCATCAGTCTTGGGAGGCTCCCCCAATACAACCACTTCCCTCCTTACCCCGACCACCACCCTCGCCATCATGGCTGTTTCTATAGTATTTGATTCTGAGACCAGTCGACATACCGCAACTCCGCCCACTTTTTCTTCAAAGCGGCCGCCGAGCGGAGGGGGAAAAGGAGAAGGGGGGGGGTCAGAGAAGCTGTTCGGATGGCAATCCCTTAAAAATCCGATACCCACTACGACAACCTTGCTCAACCCCAAAATGTGACCGCCTTCCGAAATCACAAATGCAACCCCTTTGTTCGAATAGTGCGAACGAATGGTTGATCCTGGTCAGGGCTTCCTGCACTCTTTTGCGGTAATAACGTTCGCTTTGCTGAATTAACACTGAATCCAAGGTGAACAACTCATCTGCCTAGACCTTAAGAATTCAAGAAAATATTCTGTGACTTACACTGTCTAGGATATGGTAAATCCGTGCCTGTGAGTGTGCTCGCGTGTGGCATGTCGTAATAGTCTGAACCTTTTACTCAAACAGTTTTACAATCAATCGACAATGCATGAAGGTGGAACATCGTACGTTCCTATTACCGTTCCTAGTTCTCCACGCGCCCATCGGACGCTTGAAACTATGGCCTAACGGGAGGTGGCGGCTGCTGCATGCTATGGCTACGGCTAGGAAAACTGTTTGCATGCCGACTGCCGAATGACGACCGACACTGACGCCCAGGGTGAAAAAAACGGCAGTGGAAATCCTCGACAGGGGAAAGAAATGGAGTGTTCATTGCCTTGTCTGGTAGTCATCAGTACGGTGACGAAGGGAGGAAGCGCGCCTCAAGAATCGTACTTAAAGGCACGAGTCGGGATTGAATTGATGCGTTATTTTGTTCAACATTAGGCAAGGGGTGCAATGAGGAACATTAGTGAGGAGAAAAAGCAAAAAGCACCATAGAAAACACTAAATTTCCCTTAGGAGGCCGGCCGTAGTACGACGGAGAGACACAGCGCTGCGAGGAGAGGGAGAACGCGAGATAGTACGTCGTACGCGAGAGGACGCAGAGACCACGTATGCCGTGGTGGATTACGCTGGCAGCGCGGGCAGCGCGGCGAGCAAGGCCTTAGCGCCATTGCCGCGCACTTTTGGGTCGCGATAGTGTCGCGCCCTCAGTGCTTAGGGGAGCCCTCA